CCAGCTGACCCAGGGCTGGACACGGGTCCAAACCAGGGCTGGGCACCCGGCCTGACCCCGGGCTGGGCACCCAGTCCCGACCGGCTCAGCCGCAGCGCCGGCCCCGCGTCTCCCCCGCGCCCCCTCTGTTCCCCGTCCCGTCCCCTGCCTTGAGCTCCTCGACGCGGCGGGAGAGGCGCCCGACGCGGGCTCCCAGGTGCTCCTTGTCCAGGCGGCCCGAGTGCGCCAGCACGGCCGCCACCAGCGAGCCCGCCCGCGCCGCCATGCCTGCGCGCCCTACGGCGGCCGCGAGGGACACGGCACCGCGGCGGAGCGAGACCGGGGGCCGCGGGTTCGAGACCGCGCGGGGACACCACAGACTGGGGGACCGGAACTGGGTTATGGGGACACCCGGAGATGGGGGGGATCGGGATTGGGATATGGGGACACCCGGAGATTGACGGGGGGGATCGGGATTGGGATATGGGGACACCCGGAGATGAGGGACCAGGACTGGGTTATGGGGTCATGGAGACTGGGGGGGACCGGGACTTGGGTTATGGGGACACCACAGATTGGGGCGGGGGGCGCATCGGGTTATGGGGACCCCGGAGTTTGGGGGGACCAGAATTGGGTTATGGGGATACTCGGAGATTGGGGGGGACCGGGACTGGGTTATGGGGACACCCGGATATTTCAGGGGGATTGGGATTGGGTTATGGGGACACCCGGAGATGGGGAGATCGTGGCTGGGTTATGGGGACACCGAAGATTGGGGAAGATCGGTATTGGGTTATGGGGTCACTGAGATGGGGAGATCGGGACTGGGTTATGGAAACACCCGAAGATGGGGGACCGGGACTGGGTTATGGGGACACCGGAGATTGGGGAAGATCGGGACTGGGTTATGGGGTCACTGAGATGGGGAGATCGGGACTGGGTTATGGGGTCACTGAGATGGCGATGTGATGATTCTGGGCACTGTCTCCTGGCTGGTAGATGTCAGGGTCCGTGGCTGCAGGGGACAGGGAGATGGGGGGCTCGGTGGCTCCTGCGGGGCTCCGTGGGTGCTGGGTGAGGAGGCAGGCGCCGAGCCCCTCATCATCCTCGGGGAGGGAGGAAGGCTCAGCCCCCGGCATCCGGTACCCGACGCAGCCCGGGCGGGCGGTGCCTTGTGGTGAGCAGCGCGTCCCGGAGCGGGACAGAGCCCCAGCGCCGAGCCATGCCGGGGGGAAAGGCCCTGAGCGCCTGGGCGCTGCTGGCCAGCCTGGCCGCGGCCAGCTGCGGCGTCCGAGGTGAGCCCGCTGCCGCGGGGCCGGGATGCGCTGGGACGGGGCTGGGAACGACCCCGGGGCTTGGGGAGGTCGGAATGTCGGCGGGGGAAAAAGGAATCAGGGCAAGGAGGATGGGCGAGCTGCTTTGCCCTGAGTTTTTTGGGACAGTCTGAAGTGATGCTTCCTCCCCATGAAGGAGCTCTGCACTGCTGCCCATCACTCAGGGTTTTTTGGGACAGCCTGAAGTGATGATTCCTCCCCATGAAGGAGCTCTGCACTTCTGCCCATCACTCAGGGTTTTTTGGGACAGCCTGAAGTGATGATTCCTCCCCATGAGGGAGCTCTGCACTGCTGTTCATCACTCAGGGTTTTTGGGATAGTCTGAAGTGATGCTTCTTCCCCATGAAGGAGCTCTGCACTGCTGTCCATCACTCAGGGTTTTTGGGATAGTCTGAAGTGATGCTTCCTCCCCACGGAGGGCTCTGCACTGCTGCCCATCACTCAGGGTTTTTTGGGACAGCCTGAAGTGATGATTCCTCTCCATGAGGGAGCTCTGCACTGCTGTTCATCACTCAGGGTTTTTGGGACAGCCTGAAGTGATTCTTCCTCCCCATGAAGGAGCTCTGCACTGCTGTTCATCACTCAGGGTTTTTGGGACAGCCTGAAGTGATGCTTCCTCCCCATGAAGGAGCTCTGCACTGCTGCCCATCACTCAGGTGAGGCTCTCTGCTCCTTTCTCCTGGCACAGGGCAGATCTATGTGAAGGAATTCAGCGGGAAGGTGTTCCTGGAATGTGTGCGAGATCAGGGCAGCAAGAACATGACCTGGTGGAGAGATGGGAGCACTGTTGGACACGAGGCACAGCTGGACCTGAGCGGGGTTTATGACGACCCCAGGGGCCTCTACGTGTGTGAAACAGGAAGCAAAAGGAGCAGCCTCCAGGTGCACTATCGCAGTAAGTGTTGCACAGCTCTGCTTTTCCACAGCCACAGCTGCTTGCAGTTTTCACCCAAGCCAAGTCTGGAGGGAATTTCTCTTCATCAGAGAGTGTCTCCACCGGTTTGCAGCGGGTTCCTCTGCATGTGGTGTCACTGTGACAGCTCTGCAGCCCTCTTTAGTGCCAGGACCAGCTCCTCTGGCCCCACACCGGCTGTGGGGTATTGTAAAAGCAGGCGAACCCAATGGGAGGAAATGCTGATGTCTGACTCAATTCAGAAGGCTGAATGATTTCTTTATTATAACTATGCTAAAATACATTAATATACTGTATAAAAGGAGGATACTAAAACTCCATACTACTTTCTCTGACTCTAACACAACTCGTGCCCCTCTCTGAGAGTCCAGCCCCAGCTGGGTTGGATTGGCCACCAGGCTCAAACAATCCTCACCAAAATCCAACCACGCAATCACCCCAGGTAAACAATTCTCTAAACACATTCTACATAGGAAAAACAAGGAGCAGAAATAGAAATTGTTTTCTCTTTCATTTCTCTCTGTGCACCTCTGTGAAGAATCTTGAGAAGGAGAGAAATGTGCTTGCCACAGTGGGGGACACGTGGCAGCTTGTGCCCCTGCCCTGGGTCACACAGCAAAGCCAGCTGCTCTCTGTCGGGCTGGCAGAGCTGGCCAGGCCCTCTGGATGTGCCCCTGCCCTCAGTGTCCCTGTCCTTTGGGCTTGCAGTGTGCCAGAACTGCATCGAGGTGGACGCTCCCACCGTCTCGGGCATCGTCATCGCGGACGTGGTGGCCACGCTGTTCCTGGCAGTGGCCGTGTACTGCATCACTGGCCACAACAGGGGCCACACCTCACGAGGTGAGGGCCAGGAGCAACCCAGGGGCTGTGCCTGGCACCTCTGGGGGCTCTGTGTGGCACCCAGGGGCTGCAGCAGCTCTTGGGTTTGTTTGTAAGTGTTCCCCACCTTGCCCATGGTGGCTCCCCTGGTCCCTGAGCTTGTCCTTCTTTCGTCCTTCAGCTTCTGACAGGCAGAACCTGATCGCCAACGAGCTCTACCAGGTGAGTGTGGGGGCACCCCAGTGTGTGGGTCACCTTCAGCACCTCCATGTGTGTGTGGCGATACCTTCAGCATCCCAGTGTGTGTGTGGGGACACCTTCAGCACCTCCATGTGTGTGTGGGGACACCTTCAGCATCCCAGTGTGTGTGTGGGGACACCTTCAGCACTTCCATATGTGTGTGGGGACACCTTCAGTACCTCTGTGCAGAGAGAATGCTGCCACAGGCTGACCCAGCTCACCCTCCCAGGGCTGGGCAGGGACCCTTTGGGCTCATCTCCCCTTTTTTCCCCCTGCCAGCCCCTGGGGGAGCGGGATGATGAGCAGTACAGCCGGCTGGCTCCCGCCCGTGCCCGCAAGTGAGGTGAGAAGACTCGGAGCCTGCCTCCATCAGCGTGCTGCTGTGGCCTGGAGGCCCCTCCAGGATGGGCTCCTCGCAGCCCTGTGCTCCTTCCACCACCTCTTGCACTTCTGACTTGCTGCCATTAAAGATGAACCTGTCCCACAGGCCCCCTGCTCCACCTGCTGTGTGCAGCTCCTGGGGAAGGTGCACAGGGAAGGGAGCTGGGCACTGGGAATGTGCACAGGGATGGGATGTGGGCACTGGGAATGTGCACAGGGAGGGAAGCTGGGCACTGGGAATGTGCACAGGGATGGGAGCTGGGCACTGGGAATGTGCACAGGGAGGGAAGCTGGGCACTGGGAATGTGCACAGGGAAGGGAGCTGGGCACTGGGAATGTGCACAGGGATGGGAGCTGGGCACTGGGAATGTGCACAGGGAGGGAAGCTGGGCACTGGGAATGTGCACAGGGATGGGAGCTGGGCACTGGGAAGGTGGGCAGGGATGGGAGCTGGGCATTGGGAAGGTGCACAGGGATGGGAGCTGGGCACTGGGAATGTGCACAGGGATGGGAGCTGGGCACTGGGAAGGTGGGCAGGGAAGGGATCTGAGCACTGGGAATGGCATTTGGGATGGCAAGGCCAGGTCTCCACTCCCCAGCCCCAAGCAGAAACAGCTCGTGTGGTCTGAGTCCCCAGAACGGGGCACAGACACCAGACAGGGCCAGCCAGCGTCACCTCACCCTGGAAGGACACAGAACTATCCCCCTGGTGCAGGCAAGCACAGAGGCAGAGCTGTTGCCCCTGGGTGGGTGCTGGTCCTGCTGTGTGGGATGGCACTGGCTGGGCAAATGCTGGGACCAACTTGTGCATTGATATACCCAAAATGGTGGTGGCAGTAGTGGGGTGTAGGAAAATTTAGGGATTTTTTTGCAGCAAAATTTCAGCTGTGTACACTCAGAGCAGTCCAAACTTCTCCCAGCACAGGGGAGGAGGCTGAGCAGGCGTCCCTGCAGCAGAGCTGGCTTGCAGGAGGCGAGAAGGCAGCCCTGAGTGTGTTTTGGGGCTGCTGGGGGTTGGTGCTGTGCGTATCTCGCCATCTCCCCGCTCGGGCGTGGGGGCTGTTGTGGTAAACGAGACCAGCTGTGCCTCTAAACCGCATCCTGGAGCTGCTGGGGTGCACCTCCCCTCCTGCAGCTGAACCCCAGCCCTGCTCTGCTGCTGCTTCCCCCTGAAACAGGCAGCACAGCATCCCACGGGCTTTTCTTCACCTGTGCCACTGCTGCTGGGCCCTTCTGGGGCTTTTAGTGCCTCCGGGGGCTTTTAGTGCCTTCTGAGGGTTTCACTGCCTGCCTCCGCTGCTTTGGCTGCAAACCAGGCTGTGAAGGGGACAGCAGGGCCAGGGCAGAGGCAAATCCCCCTGAGAAGGATCCGCTCCCAGCCCAGGGAACCACCAGAAGCAAGCAGAGGCACTCAGGGCAGAAATTAAACTGCAGGGACAAGCCAAGCCTGTAGCTTCAGAATAAATCATCCATGGGAGCTGATGCATCAGCCTGGAGGCCCCTCCTGGCAGGAATGCCCAAGGATTCACCCTTGAGCGGGAGCAGAGAGAAGTGTGAAGGGAAAAGGAGGCCAGGACCCCTCCGTGAGGCTGCAGTCCTTTAATGAGAAGGAAATCTCTTGCCAGTGGGCTCATTTCTGTTCCCTGCTGGCAAACCCAAGCTCACCCCGGGCTGGACGGCACCTCCCTGTCCCAGCGGCTCGGCAGAGGGCTTGGCAAGGAGCCGGGCAGAAGCTTTTGGTCCTGGGCTGTGGTCCCGGGCTGCCACGGGGGATTTCAGATGCCCCGGGGTCCCAGGCCCGCGTACAGCTCCCGCTGGCCCTTCCGGATGGGCTGTGGCAAGGGCAGAGATGTCGGGTCAGGAGCCCACACAGCGCGTGGGGCTGCAGTCCTGCTCCCCCATAGATAAATCCCCCTGCAGCAGCAGGGAAAGGGCTGCACCCTCAGCACCCTTTTCCTGGCTGCCAGGAGGGAAAGCAGGAGCTCGGCTGGAGGATGAAGGAGCCGGTGCCAGCCCCAGCCCCGCCATCCCTCCCCAGCAGCAGGGAGGGAAAGGGACCGTCCTCACCTCATAGTCCGGGTTGGGGACGGGGGGAGGACGCTGCGTCTTCTGACCTGGAACAGAGGCACACAGAGGGTGAACCCCTGGGGATTCCTCCCACCGGGGCCTCCAGGCTGATCCCAGGGACCAGCTCCCATGGATTTATCCCGAGCTCCTGAAGAGCCGGCTGCTGCCAGGAGCTGCAGGGCTGGCTCCAGCGCAGCGGCCTGGGAAATGTGGGCAGCTTTGGCACAGAAGCCACCCCCATCCCTGCACAGAGGCAGCCTGGAGAACACCCCTGGGAAGCAGCAGCACTGCCTGGAAGCTCGTGAGGAGCAGAGGATGCCCCGTCCCACAGTGGGGATGAAGGTTTCCCTGGGTGCTCGCAGGTGGCACGGGCACAGGGATGTCTGCAATGGCTCTCACCTCGTGGCCGACTGTCCCCACCGGCGCTGGCTCGTCCCTTCCTGCTCTTGCTGAAGTAGTAGACCAGGATCAGCACCCCCAGGGTGATGAGGAGGTCTGCAGTGATGATCCCTGCCACAGTCAGGGCGTCCAGCTCCTCGCAGGTGGCACACACTGCAGGGGAGGAGGGCAGGGGGATGCTCAGAGCCAGGGCTCGCTCACCCGAGGGCTGGCACAGAGCTACGGGCAGCTGGGACGGGGAGAAGGGCAAACTGAGGGGAAAGGGGAGAGTCCTTCTGCCAAAAACGGCCTCTGGGATCTTTCACCACCCACGCAGAGCGGGAACAGCCTCGGCAGCACCGCGTTCACCCGGCCCAGCACTGGCAACGCAGCGTGAACCCCAAAACCTGCCCTGGGGTGGGCAGGCGAGGGGGCTGCGCTCACCCCTGGCATTCAGGTACAGCTGGCGCTTCCCAGTGCCCTCCCCGCAGCTGAGGTTGGCAGGAGCGCTGTCGTGGTCCTTCAGAATGAGCTTCCTCTCCGTGGTGTCCTGCACTTTCCCGGCCAGCTCCCAGCGGATGGACTCGTGCTCCAAGGGACACGTGATGGTCACCGTGGTGCCAGAAATCTCCACCAGGAACTCCCCTTGGGAAGGCAGCAATGAGCAAGGAAACCACGGGCAAAAGCCAAATATTTCTACCTGATTTTCAGTCAGCTGCAGTCTTTGTATCCCGCCAAATACTAAAGGATGCTGGTAAAATTCACTTACTCTCCTGTTCTTCATCTGCAAAACAGAAAATAAGGAGTGTTAAAAAATCATCTCACCATTGCCTCGCAGTGTTGGAAATGCCCAGTACTGGTAATAATTCGGGACCAATTTCTCCAATTAGTAATACCACTGTCAATGAATGAATAGTGAATTTTTCCTATCCTGCAATATTTACATAATTAAAATCTTTCTATTTGACACATATTCCTCACTTTTGAGGCATATTTGGGGGTTTTAGCATGATAAATAGTAAAGGACGGCAGTAAAATACACTTACCCTCCTGAGCTGTGGTGCCACCTGCAAAAAAACGAATAAGAAATGTTAAGTAATCGAGCTTCAGATATCACACTACTCCCGGGACATCCTTTCTGAACTCAGCTGCTTGGAAGAGACGTTTATAATCCCACATGCATGCTGAAGGCACCAGAAATATTCTGGTGGTGATACAGGATGTTGTTCTGAACTTGGAAGCCATTTTCAACGCAGCCTAACGCAGAATGGAAACTTGAATCATTTTCCAACCCAGCTCAGAAAAAAGGGTTGTTGTTTCAAGATGCAAACCCAAAAATTCTGCTTTGTTATCATGGAGCAAACACTGCTGGAAAATGCTAGTAAGAATCTCTGTCCTCTGTGAGAGAACTCGCTGGAGAGGGGGAGCCTGATGTTGATTTAACGCTGTAAAACATTATATCTGTTTGGTTTTACTGCCTTGTATGAAATAAATTTCTCCATGAGAGGCTCTGGAGCTGGAATATTAAAGAAAGAGTTTTTAGGAGGTGTGAAACAGATTTGGTATTTCCTTTAAAGACATTTTTTCCTTTTGAAAAAAGTAAGGTAAATAAGCGATTGCAGATTTGAATTCCACAGGCAGATGACTTCCCCGGAGAGAAGGTGACCTGATGGTTTTTGTTTTACATAGATACATTAAATCTGAAAAAAGTTGATAAACTGTTAAACCGCATTTCCTATCTTCACAAAGGTTGATATTTGCAGCACTTTGGCAGAGTAGTTGGAGTCTTGTAGCAACTCTTAATGGATTAAGGTGAACACTTATCTCTCCTCATTACTGGGTTCTTTAGAGCTTTTACAGGTACTCTGCACTTCATCCTAAACCATCCTGAACCATCCTAAACCATCCTAAACCTGCCCAGGTGGGAGCTGCCACCCCAGCCCTGATCTCCCACCAAGCCTGAACCATTTACCCAGCACCACCAAACGCTTTGAGAAAAGTGCACGGATAAAGGATAAAACCAAAATTAAGAGCGTGGATGTGCCCCAATAGAAACCAAAATGAAAATTAACCTTACAGCTCACACTGCACCGAGCTGCCCGAGGTTTGGCACTCACCTGCACACAGCAGGAGCCCCAGGAGGGGCAGGCACTGCTCCAGCCTCATCCGCGTCTTCCTCCTCCTGCTGCTCCTCTCCACCACATCAGACTGGCATGGCTGTGGCAGGAAAGAGCACAGTGGCTTTTCTAGAAAGAGTCCCAGGATTGTTTTTCCCAGAATTGCTGCCGACCCAGGGCTGGGGGACTCACTCTTTCCAGAGCAGCCAAGGCAGACCCAGACATGTGAAATGAGCCCAGGTCAGGAAGTGCGGAGGCTCAAAATGTCTTCATGGGACGTCACCGCCAGCCAGGGGTGGCTGCTGTGCCCTGCAGCAGCTCTGCGGGGTGTGGGACAGCTCCAGGAGCTGCCCTGGGAGCAGAGGAGAGAGAAACGAGCTGCAATCAGATTTACATCAGGGCCTTCTCAACAGTGTCTCAAAGTGAGGGTTTGAGAAGCTCCGAACGACTTCACGTGGAATCCCAGCGTGGTTTGGGTGGGAAGGGACCCTGAAGCCCATCTCATCCCACCCTGCCATGAGGGGCACCTTCCACTGCCCCAGATGCTCCAAGCCCTGTCCAGACTGGCCTTGGGCACTGCCAGGGATGCAAGGCAGCCACAGCTGCTCTGGGCACCTGTGCCAGGGCCTGCCCACCCTCACAGGGAACAATTCCTTCCTGATATCCCATCCAGCCCTGCCCTTGTTGTAAGTACAGGTGAACTTGGTGAGAAGAAATACTGATGTCTGACTGCAGCTCAGAGGCTGAATGATTTCTTTATTGTAACTACACTATAATGCATCAATATACTATTTAAAAGAGATACTAAAACTACAAACCTACTTTTTCTAACTCATTCCCAGCTCGTGGCCCTCTCTGAGAGCCCAGCCCCACGTGGGTTGGATTGGCCACCAGGCTCAAACAATCCTCACCAGAACCCAACCAAGCATCACCCCAGGTAAACAATTCTCTAAACACATTCCACATAGGAAAAACAAGGAGCAGAAACAGAAATTGTTTTCTCTTTCTTCTCTCTGTGCTCCTCAATGAAAAATCCCGAGAGAGAAGGATGTTTATTGCCACACTGCCCTCTGGCAGTGAGAGCCATTCCCCCTGTTCTATCCTACAGCCGCTGAGGAAGAGCCCTGGCGGGTCCCTGCAGGCACTGCCAGGCTGGGATGAAGGAACCGAGAGCCCCACCCAAACTGAGCCCGCAGAGCCCCTGCAGGGGCACAGAACCGCGGCCATCTCTCCCTGCCCATCCCCTCGCCAGGCGCTGTCCCAGCAGCGTTTTTGGGAGGTTCTCCGCTCTGGAGGCGGCTGGTCCCACTAGAGGGGGCTCCGTGCCCGGCCAGGAGCGCAGGGCGCGCTCCGTGCCCGCCGGGCTGCGGGCGCGCACGGACCCGGGGCCGGCCCGGGCACTCCGGGCTCTGCTGCCCGCAGGGTCGCAGGGTGCCGAGGTGTTCTTTGGCCGTCAGCGCTTCCTTTTCCTTATCTACCTTTCCAGCGGAACATCGGAGAATTTAGGTTACTGCTGAGTGTGCCAGGGACGCGGTCTTCTATTAGAAGCTGAACCCTGCGGATATTCTCAGCTCAGTCAGAGAGAAAAGGAGAAAGATTTCTGCCACGCTAAGCCTGGGGGAAAGTCCGAGAGGGATGTAATCAATCTATTATCTTACTTTCTGTTCTTATCATTTATAGATATGTTCTACCACACTGACTTAAGTCCACTGTACCAATCAGGTGAAATGTTTTTACTCTAAGTCCAATGGAATTGATGTTCACGATGTTCTCTATAAAAGAGAGAGGTGCTTTTGAATAAACGCTCATTTTGCCTTCTGAAATTGTGAGAGTCATTTCCCCTGCCCCTGGCTCAACAGGAAGCCACATCTTTTGGAAGAGGATGAGGATTAGCAAAAGTCTGCAGGCAAAGGGGCTGTTCCCAGCCCTGTGCAGAAACAGGATTAGGAAGTGGCAGCAAATTGGCTGCTAAACCTTAAACTCAACCTGAACAAAGCCCCAGAAGGAGGCGGTATGCTGGAATCGTAATTGGGTGGAAATCTGGGGAGAGGAAGTGATGGAGGGCTAACACGGGACCAAACAATTCCAGGAAAACGGAGATCCTTGGTGTCCAAATCATTCCTGGAAAACAGAGATCCTTGGTGTCCAAATCATTCCGGGAAAATGGAGATCCTTGGCGTCCTGGAGGGGATGTGTTAGCACACACAGGATTCCCTGTTCTGTTCTGGGCACAATCCGGGCAGCTGACGGCCTCAGTGATGTTTTTCCATCACCAAATCTCTGAAGGGACACCCTTCCCAAACACCCGGAGGTTGGGGCACCCTGCCCTTGCACCCTGCAAAGGAAATGGGCACCAGGCACACCCGGAATCCATAACCTGCGATGACTTCTTGGCACAGGCTGGGGAGCCAGACGCAGACACAGACGGATCACGAGACGATTTGCTCTCACAATTCAGGGGTGACTATTGTGTGGATATTAAGAGAAGCTTTAGTGATGTACAGTTATGTGATTGCCGTTTCCATGCCCTCTGTTCTCCCCGCAGTTCCCTTTCCCCCCTGTACTGTTGCCATCGGACATCAGGGGTGTCTAGGGCAGGTAGAAAGGTGTGCACATGTGGGCTTTCCATGGGGCAGCTGGGAATGGAAAAGCTGGCTGCAGGCAAGCAATCCCCACCGATAAACAGCAAAGAAGGGCTGGCTGGCAGACTTTGGGAGGGGTCAGCGTTGTCTGATGCAACCCCCAGCGGTATAAAACACTGAGCATCCATCCTGAAGACGAGCCAGCCACGTGGTAGAAAGCCACAAAAGCAGTTCCCAGCGCTGCAACTTCTTCCTTATTTAGTCCTTTTCTTGTGTTTTGTTAAGTTTAATAAACCCTTTAACATTTTTGGAGTGAGCAGTTGTCTCTCACACACCCCAGTGATTCATGGCCCTCGAATGCAAACATCCTCATTTTGCCAACACGCAGGCTCAGATTGCTTTTACACTCTCACCACGTGCCGACTGCAGAATATTTTGTGTCCCACGGAATTTCTCACTTATTGGAATATGGCCGGACCCATTTTCCACCTGATTTTTCCCAGAACTTCCCAAGCACCAGGCTCCCAATCCTTGCCTACAACCAAGGGTTCAAATCACTTTAGGGTAGGTGTCTGTGTTTGGTGGGACGTTTCCATGCTCTGGATGAGGGCCCGCAGTGTCAGGTTTGGGCCGCTCTTTTTAGGATCGTTTGCAGGTTTTTTTGCCGAACAAACGGCCCTCATTCCTTCGAGTCACCTATGAGCACCTCCAGGCAAATGTTCTTTAACCTCCCACAAGAGGGGAGTGGTTTGGGGTGGCGGCTGGGAGGAGGAATGATTGCAACACCTAAGAGCAGGGGAATATGGGAGGGAGAAGAAATTAATCTTACCTTGGGAATCGCGCTGGGTTAGAGCAGGAGGGAGCGGGGCTGGGCACACCTTGGCACGGAGCGGGGCTGGGCACACCTTGGCACGGAGCGCGCCTGACTCGGGCAAGGGGAGCGCTCACCTTCCCTCGCCGGAATCTGCCCCGTTGTGCTGGGAAGGCTTGGAGAAACTCATCTTTTAGCCGGTGACGGAGAAGCCGAAGCGGATTTGCCTCCGCAGCCCCGGCTTTGCCTCCGCAGCCCCGGCTTTGTGCCCCGATGCGCGGCCGCGCCTGGCTGGGCGCTGCGCTCGTCCTCGGGGCGCAGCTCCCAGGTAAGGAGCGTGGCCCTGGCCCGGCCCGGCCTCGCTTCCCTCTTCCCATCCCTTCAGTTATCCCGGGCAGAGCCTTCCCCCGTCCTGCTGCGATTCCTGCTGCGCGGGGTTCGCTGGAAGCGGCGCGGAGCGCTTGAGTTTCTTCCCCGACAGGTTTGGGCGTATTCGAGAGGAAGAACACCGATTTCCTCCACTCCTCCACTGATCTCAGCTCCGCTTTCAAGGTCTTTTTCTCCCCTGCCGGGAATCTGAACTTTACTCTCAGCTCTTTTTCTTTTTTTTTTTTTTTTTTTTTTTCCTACCTTTGTTCCTTAACAATCAGGGATTGTCCAGGAGCTCCGGCTTCAGATCTTTTACACAGCAAAGGTTCCAGACTGACACGAAACTCACTTGAATTTTCAGTGGTTTATATCGAAACACCTGGATTTTAATAATAACGCAACTTCCTTTCCCAAATGTGGAATGTAATCGGCCTTGAAAAAAAGTATTTTACTCTTATTTCTCGCTTAATTCTTTTCAAAGGGTTTAAAATTAACAGATTTGGCACCGAATCCATGTATGAGCAACGTGATCTCTGCCAGTGAAGTTTTTCACATGTGAATAGTTTCAATGTTTTGGCGTTCCAAGCCTTTTTCCCTTTGAGATAAGGAATTATTTGGAAGGAAGTATTTAGCCATAAACTACTTCCAAATACATCTTTGTTGTGAAGTTTTATTTTACAACCCTAGATAAGCTTTTTTTTGTTGTTTGTTTGAATCACACTGGAGTGAGTTATCTTCCTAATGTGACAGGGTATTGATATTTTCTATTTCCTTCACCGAGAAAACCATTAATTTTTCTTATTTTTCATCCTCCTCTCTTTTCTTTGCTCTATTCTCACTGGTTTTCCTTCTTCCAGGGGAGCATCGAGTGAGCAGTGTTCACTTATTTTTAAATAAGCCATGGTGGTTGTGGGGATGTTTCTTGGAAGAACAAATCCATTTCCTCTAGACCTGACTGAATTTACCTACAGTTGCCCAGCTGGGCTACAAAGCCTCTAGAACTGGCTCTGGATACATGAGTTAAGAGCAGTTCCACCGTGCTGTGCACGAGGCTGAGTAGAAAGGGTAAAAAGGGAAGCTCTAGCATGGGAAATAGCAATTATTGGGTGGGATTCAGTGCAGTTTGAAAGGGTTTTTCTGACTCCATCTGCAGGATCACCCCCCGGGAATGCCTGGGATGCTCAGGCGGTCCCTTGCCAGCGCAGATAAGGCTCCCAGGGATTTAAAGGCGATAAGGAGCGGCGATGAGCTGGCTCGGACGGTGATTTTGCTCCGTGTTCTCCCCGCAGCGCTGTGGCTGGCGGCAGCAGTGGAGGTTCACACTGCCAAGGAGGTGGTGGCCGTGAACGGGACCAACCAGCGGCTGAAATGCACCTTCTCCAGCAGCAGCCCCGTCAGCCAGCAGCTCTCCGTGAGCTGGAACTTCCAGCCCGAGGACCTGAGCGCTCACGAGCCGGTGGGTGAGATCTCTGTGCTCCATTCCGGGGGCTCCCCTCACCCAGCACCCAGCAGCGAGGGGGTATATTGGAAATGCAGGCGAACCCAATGGGAAAAAATGCTGATGTCTGACTCAATTCAGAAAGCAGAATTATTTCTTTATTATAACTATGCTAAAATACATTAATATACTGTATAAAAGGAGGATACTAAAACTCCATACTACTTTCTCTGACTCTCACCCAACTCATGCCCCTCTCTGAGAGCCCAGCCCCAGGTGGGTTGGATTGGCCACCAGGCTCAAACAATCCTCACCAGAATCCAACCAAGCATCACCCCAGGGAAACAACTCTCCACACACATCCCACATGGGAAAAACAAGGAGCAGAAATAGAAATTGTTTTCTCTTTCATTTCTCTCTGTGCTCCTCTCTGAAAAATCCTGAGGGAGAGAAATGTGCTGCCACATGGGTACAGACACACCCCAAACCCACAGACACATCTGGGCCTTCGTCACTTGGAGTGATTAATCTGTTTATAGACCCTGCCTAACAAACACTCCCGTGTTTAGTTTTGGGTGGTCAGGGTTAAAATGTTTGTGGCTTTACAAAGCTGGGTCTGCTGACACCACGGCTGAGTCCTGCCTTAAGTGACATCCTGCACCTGACAGGAATCTCCCAGGTCCCTTCCATCCCAGGCCATTCGATGTTTTTGTGACTTTTGTAGGTATTTTACTACCTGAAGGAGCCCTACGAGCCCCCCGCGGGAAGGTTTAAAGACCGAGTGACCTGGGATGGGAACATCGAGCGGAACGATGTTTCCATCGTCCTCTGGAACCTGAAGCCCAGCGACAACGGGACCTTCACCTGCCAGGTGACAAACTGGCCAGACGTCTATGGCACCATCGGGGAGGTGCGACTCCGGGTTGTGCAGAAAGGTGAGAGGCCAAGAAACCCCCCCGAGGTTGTGTGGATTTAAGCAGAGTGGCCTTCTTCCACATCTGGGAAAGCTGTGGGAGAAAAGGGCTGGTAAGTAGAAAGCACGAGGGAAAAGGGAGCTTGAGGAAAGGTTTTATTGACAAATGCAGGATCCCAGCCCCGCTCCTCCTGTGTGTCCCTCTGCTTCATTCTGTCTCTCCCCACGCAGTGAGCTTCTCAGAAATCCATTTCCTGGCCGTGGCCATCGGCTCTGCCTCCGTGCTGATGATCATCGTGGTGACAGCCATGATCATCTGCCGGCAGCGCCGCAGGAAGGCGCGGGACAGGAGGCTGGAGGCGGCCAACGCTGAGAGGTGAGTGTGGCTGTCGAGGCAGGACGGGAAGGAGAAGGCTCTGACTCAGAAGGCTGTGAGAGTAAAACTCTGATTTATTCAAAATACACTGCTCTTTTATACAGAGCTCCACAAGGACCAAATCCTTTGGTTCTGAAGTGAAAACAACCCACAGCATTGGTACAGAGTGCTTGACACACAGTGATAGAACTTAATTATAAACAATGTGAAAAACAAGAGAGATAAAGATTATTTACATTTTCCCCAGCTCTTTCCCAGGCTTTTGCCTGGCTAGAAACTCTCAGTTTCTCTCTTTGACTGAATCTGAGACCCACAGGTGAGGGCACGCACGGCACGGGGGAGAGGCTGCTGGGGCAGCTGGGTGGGTTTATCTCCACGGCCTTTCTGAATTCTTGGACCCTGCACGGAGCACCCACAGTGCAAGCTGCCAACCCAATTAGCGATAATTGGCTGCGTGCAGGCAGAGCAGAGCCCCAGGATGGACAAGCTCTGCAGTCCCCATCTGCCTCTTGCCCTGCTCGGTGGCTCTTCCCTCAGAAGGATGCAGCTGCTGTGGTGGTGGGCAGATGACCACCCTGTCCCCCAAGCTGTGGTCACCACACGTGTGCCACACTCACCTTGTCACCGTGGGTGTGCTGTGTGTGGCTCAGGACATCCTGACACTGATTTGGGCTTCTTTTCTCTTTTGTTCCTCCCATTTTTACAACAGTAAAGAAAAGGAGAGCCTGAAGGTGGGGGAAGAAAAGGAATCCATTCCATTGGAAGATTAAGGGTCTTTGCTGGTGTGCACAATGCAGGTACCCATCCAAACCTTCTCTAATTAATGTCTCAGTGTTCCTGTGGACTCTCCAAGACAGATTCCCTCGGGTATTTCCCTGCTATTCACAGTCAGAACTGAGGCCACAATCACACTTTGCTGTTGAGGATCTTTCAGAGACAGGTGAACCCTCCCTGAACCATCACAGCCTCTAAAATGCGCAAGAAATTTCTCCACCCTGGTGTCGAGGAGCATTTGTAGAAAAGCCATTGTTGCTGCTTTCCATGGCATTCCTGCTTTGTATATAAAAAGGAATGAATTACTTCCCTTTTGTCACTTTGGAATCTGCTTTTTGATTACTTTAACCTTTACTGCTTTAAAATTGCCACAGGAAGCCTGGCACTGTTCCCACATTCACTGTCTTTGCTTAGACATGTCAGCACAAATTTCACCCACAGTTCCTGAGGTCAGCAGTTCCCTCTATTATTTTGGTTTTTGACAATAACCCTGAGTCACGGATGTTTGTTTTTCTTACAATCTTTCTTCTCAGGAGCTTCCAAAGCAGCTGGTGAGAGCTTGTAATTTGGGGTGTTAGAACAAAGCTGGATTACAGACGCCCCACGCTGCCGCTGCGGAACCTCTGCTCAACCTGAAAGTCTTGCATGGAAAGAGGGTGACTTTGCATGAGCTGTGAATTCCCCTCAGTGAAGCAGAGCAGGAGGATCTTGCCCCATGAACAAAGAACTTTCCTTCATCCTCTCACCCGGGAGCAGGGCTTCTCTGCAAGATGGAAGTGCCAAGACTGACTGGACGGATTGCTGGGAGGTGTTTGAGCAGATGAACTCTTGCACCTTGGAAACCACAGCGTTTTGGTTTTGTTTGCCCTGGTTTTGTTCCCTGTGACTCCTCCCTGGCATCCTGAGAGGGAAGGCTGAGCAGTGAGGTCTCAGCTGGCACAACAAACTCCTTGGAATCCCTTTTCTGTTCGATGGACAGTGATAGAGCTGGGCAGGGGTGCTGTTTGTTATTCAGGATGGCATTCACCAGCCAGGGTGGTTTGCACATCCATCTCTGGCAGCTTCAGGAGAATTTGGGGGTTGAGAAGAGTTTCTGCCTGGGTTCACCAGCTCCCCCCTGTTCCCATTCCCACTCTCACTATCCCAGCACTCCCCTCTGTTCCCCAAAACTGGAACCCATGGAGTTCTAAGGGTGTCTCACCAGCCCCAAACCAATCCTGTTACAGTATTTACCCAGCCCCAAATCACAGCGTTGCCCTGTCTGTTTGTAGAGTGTCTTTATGACTTTATAACCTGTGAAGTGCCAGCATTCCCTGGCTGTCTGTTTTCATTTTCACTTTCCTATGTTGTAAATAAAGTCACCTTACTCAGAGCTGTGCTGCTGTGGAGGGGGGCCGTGACCTGGGGGCCCCTGACACCTCAGATGAGCAGATTTGCACTGTTTGTCCCCAAAAACAGATTTGTTACCCTGTGTGCAACAAACCAATAATTAAATACTTCAGGGAGATGTTGATTATCGACTTCAGAGGAGCCCGAGCCTGGTGCTTGGTGGTGTCCCACAGATCCAGCACACCCCACTGGACTTCTACCACCATTATTTATGCACAGAATTCAGAGTCAGTAACTCTCCAACTACAGCCCCTCTCTTACAATGGGTTATTCATTCCCATACATATTCATTCCCAATATTCATTCCCAACTTCTACCCCTGCTCAGGGGCAGGCTCTTCACCTGGCTGGGGTCTTTTTGACCTGTAGGTGTGATTTTTGGTATTATAACCAAGCTCGTTCAGCTCTAGTTCAACTCTGGCATTTTGCCCAGTTAGCAATGTACAGAGACACACATCAATATTTAATTTATTACATCCCTAAAACTTGTCAGTTCCAGGGTGTCCTTGGCTAAGGCATGGAGTTGCTGTCTGTTCCCCTGATTAGGTCTCCTTTATTTTGCTGATTGAGCTTGAAAATCTACAAAGATCTCACAGCAAGGAACACCTTGACTTAAGAATATAATCCTGGCACATTCCTCATTTTGTGGCACCCAAAAAAGCCCAAAGTGCAGCGAGCAGGCTGGCAGTGAGGCTCGGGGATCTGGGGACAGGCATGGCTGCAGCACCGGACCTTTCACTCGTCCCGGACACAGCAGGGCCACCCAGGTGTGTCCAGCTGTTCCCAGGCGTGCCCAGGCCTACCCAGGTGTGCCCATCCAGGTGTGTCCAGCTGTTCCCAGCTGTTCCCAGGCGTGCCCAGGTGTGCCCATCCAGGTGTGTCCAGCTGTTCCCAAGTGTACCCAGGCCTATCCAGGTGTGCCCAGCTGTTACCAGGTGTGCCCAGGTGTACCTAGACCTACCCAAGTGTTCCCAGGTATACCCAGGTGCTCCCACCCAGGTGTACCCAAACCTACCCAGGTGTGCCCAGCTGTTCCCAGGTGTACCCAGCTGATTCCAGCCAGGTGTACCCAGGTATTCCCAGGTGTGCCCATCCAGGTGTGCCCAGCTGTTCCCAGGTGTACCCAGCTGATTCCACCCAGGTCTACCCAGACCTACCCAAGTGTTCCCAGGTATGCTCAGGTATTCCTGCCCAGGTGTACCCAGCTGTTCCCACCCAGGTGTACCCAGACCTACTCAGGTATTCCCAGGTGTGCCCAGCTTTATTCCCAGAGTTTCCCAGGCGTTCCCAGACCTTCCCAGGCGCCGCGGCCATTTCGGGGCTGCCCCGCCCTCACCTGCGCCAGGTGAGCGCCATGTTCCGGGGCTGAGCCCGGCCGGGATGCGGCGCCCAGGGGCGGCGAGGGCCGGCGGCCGCCTCCTCCTCCTCCTCCTCCCGCGGGGGGCTCTGCTGCTGCTCGGTACCGGGGTCTCCGGGGCCCGGCATGGCATGGGATGGACGGGACGGGAGCGGCGGTGCCCGCGGGGTCCCGCCGGGGAACGGGGCCGGGAGCGCTCGGGATGCGGCTCCGGCGGCCCTGGATGGTGCCGGGGCAGGGGGAGGCTCGGGAAGGGTGGTCCCGGAGCTCTGGGGGATGTGGGAAACTCGGGAAGGGTGGTCCCGGAGCTCTGGGGAAGGTGGGAAGCTCGGGAAGAGCCGTCCCGGAGCTCTGGGGGATGCGGGAAGCTCGGGAAGGGTGGTCCCGGAGCTCTGGGGGATGCGGGAAGCTCGGGAAGGGTGGTCCCGGAGCTCTGGGGGATGTGGGAAGCTCGGGAAGAGCCGTCCCGGAGCTCTGGGGGATGCGGGAAACTCGGGAAGGGTGGTCCCGGAGCTCTGGGGGATGCGAGAAACTCGGGAAGGGTGGTCCCGGAGCTCTGGGGGATGTGGGAAGCTCAAGAAGAGCCGTCCCGGAGCTCTGGGGGATGCGGGAAGCTCGGGAAGGGTGGTCCCGGAGCTCTGGGAGGCTCGGGCGAAGTCCTGCCCGGAGCGGTGGATGGTCCCGGGGCGGAGGGAGGCTCGGAACGGCCGGAGCTGAACGGGGCAGAAGCGGCTGCGCCCGCTGGAAACAAGAACTGAAAGAATTTGGTGCTCTGGGGAGAGTTCTGACCCGGTGCCTGTGGAATTCAGGCAGAATTGCTTTAAGTACCTACAGCTGGTAGTTCGTAACCCAGCTGATCGCGTTCCTCAGCTCCTTGTCTCCTCGAACAGGTCAGGGAAGTTTTCTGCTCTCCTGTAAATTCAGTGCCGGGCAGGGAGTCACTGCTGTGCTTTAGTCTTTGAATTCTGCCTGACCCGCGCACGTCTCGGGATTTTTGGGACAATTTTGCACCTCGCGGGCAGCAAGAAACGAATCCCTGCCTTTTGTGCCCGTTCCATCAGGTGTCTGCAATGCTCTTTCCCTGGAAATTAAAGCCAGTGCTAAAGTCCGAGCTTTTGTGGGCGAGCAAGTGCTGCTGAAATGCTCCTTCAAGTCCAGCTCCCCCATCACCGAGAGCCTGCTGGTGGACTGGACCTACCGGCCCCTCGCTGGGGGCCAGATGGAGACGGTAGGTGGAACAGTGCCAGGCCCCTGGGCGTGCTGAAAATTGGAATTTTCTGTTTGCTTTGCTGGGCTGCTGCCTCACTTTGCGGTTTGGGACACTCACTGTTGCCTTCTTCCCCCTGTAAAATACCTTCGGTGTTCTCTGGGGGGAAAAAATATTCTAAATACAAAAGAGCATGATAATGATAAAGTAGGGGGGTTGTCACAAGAGTTGCACTGTGCACAGAATGACTGTAAAAATTCAGTTGGTAGCTTTATTTCTCTTGTATATGAAATATCCTTCCTGACTTTTTAACCTGTCATTATTCCTTTACTTTTGCAATGCAAAAGAACAGTTCACTGCTTTCTTGGACGAGTGCTTTATTACCACAATCCTTGCCTTTCCCTCCTCGCAGATTTTTCATTATCAGTCCATCCCACACCCCACAACAGTGGGGACATTCAAGGACAGGATATCCTGGGTTGGGAACATCGCTAATGGCGACGCTTCCATCGCCATCCAAAGCCCCAGGCTCAGTGACAACGGGACGTTCATCTGCAGCGTGAAGAACCCTCCAGATGTTTACCACAACATTCCCCAGACCGTGCTGGTGGTTACAGAGCGGGGTAAGGCTCCCTGCCCTCGGTGTGGCCTCACCCCTGCGACAGAGCTGCTTTGTGGGATGTTGGAATTCCGAGCATCACGTGGGAAATGCTCCCTGGACTTCCACGCTGGAGGGTCAGCAGAGCTTGCTTCAGCCCCGCTCTCTGAGCTCAGTGATTTGGGAACTGCTGGGTTGATTTGGGGCAGGAAGGGACGGGGGCAGCTGTGGTGACAGCAGAAATCAGAAGTGTCCCTTTGTTCGGGAGTTTCGTTGCGGCAGAACAAGTTAAACATTGAGGAAGTGCTGGCCTAAAAACAATCTCCACATCACAAGCGCTGATTGTCAGAATCAATTTCCTCATCTGCCCTGCGTGCCAGCCCTGCCCCAAATTCCCAGCTCAGCCGTGCTGGTAGAACTGTGCCGTGCCCTCCTCTGCAGCTCCCTCCACCTGAGCCTGGGCTGGGTTTGGAGACAGGAGCCCCAAAGG